TCTATAGCTTTCTTTATTCTTTCTTTTCTTTCTCTTTATTTTTTTAAAAAAAATTTTTAAATTTATTTCTAAGAGAGAGAGAGAGAGAGAGAGAGACAGCATGAGCAGGGGAGGGTCAGAAAGAAAGGGAGATACAGAATCTGAAACAAGCTCCAGGCTCTGAGCTGGCTGTCAGCACAGAGCCTGATGTGGGGCTCGAACTCACGAACTGTGAGATCATGACCTGAGCTGAAGTCGGATGCTTAACCAACTGAGCCACCCAGGTGCCCCTCTTTCTCTTTAAAAAATGTTTATTTTTTTATGTTTATTATTGAGACAGAGAGAAACAGAGCATGAGCGGGGGAGGGGCAGAGAGCGGGGAAGACAAAGAATCTGAAGCAGGCTCCAGGCTCTGAGCTGTCAGCACAGAGCCAGACACAGGGCTAGAACCCACAAAATGTGAGATCATGACCTGGGCCAAAGCCAGATGCTCAACCAACTGAGCCACCCAGGCACCTGTTTGCGGGGGAGGGTCAAAGAGAGAGAGAGAGGGAGACACAGAATTGGAAGCAGGCTCCAGGCTCTGAGCTGTCAGCACAGAGTCCAACATGGAGCTCAAACCCACAGACCATGAGATCATGACCTGAGCTGAAGCCGGACACTTAAACGACTGAGCCACCCAGGCGCCCCTAAACCTCTACAGCTTTCCAGTCACCACCCTCCAGTACCTGGTCTCAGTTTCCCCTCAAGTTCACTGTCAGCATCAATTTCTTCCCCTCTCCTGCATAAACCTTTTCCATCCACAAAAGGAGTAGCTCCTAAATATGCCTTGGATTCTGATCGCCATCCTTTTCTCACATCACAGTCGATGTCTGGGACTTCCTCTCTCAGTTTTCTTGGCCTTTTCAAATCCTACGTATTCTTTAGAGTTTAGCTAAAATGCCACTTGCCCCTCATCGCTGTTCAAGAACATTCATTCAGGGGCAGAATGGTTAAGAACTGATATTCATTGAGTGTTTCCATGTACAGATATTAAATACTTCACAGAATCATCTTAGCAGGGAGCTAGATGATCATCTCACTTTACAACGACAGAACTAAGGCTTACTGATGTTAAATAACATACCCAAGGTCATGCAGCATTTAAAGGGTGGAGGCAGGATTTAGGACCCCTCAGTTCAAGCTCTAGGCATCATGCCAAACTCTTTCTGTCCCAACACGTGGGGTAAGGAAGAACTTCTTGTACATACATATTCTTTCCCAGAGGAAAGCCTGTGAAGGATCACCTCCCAGGAATGGGCCTCATCTGTCATCTGTTTTCACCAGGGAGCTGTGTGGCTAAGGAGACGCAGCAGGAGACACACGTAGGAATCATCTCAAATCTAACCAGGGGTAACTGAGCAGGACTGGTGCAGAAATTAGCCTAGCATCAGAAAAATTTTCATATTTTTACGAGAATTTTATTCTGTCTCGGCTATATAAAGGAGACTAAAGGAAAGGAAGCTTGATTTGTGCCCACACCAAGGCCAGAGTTTTAATGACTGGGATACTTCTTAGGGCACCTGGCTGGCTCAGTTGGCGGAGCATCTAGGTCCTGATCTCAGGTTGTGAGTTCAAGCCCCACATTGGGCATAGAGCTTGTGTGGGGAAAAGAAAAAAAGTGGGATGTTTCTTGGGTCAGTGGGATCAATAGGAAGAGACTTTGAGCAGGAAGTGAGACCCAAAGGGGGCAGAGATGAATACTCTGGTTTCTCTTCAGATCGAATAAATCTTTCGCCTTTTACCAAAGGGGGCAGAGATGAGGGCATGGGCACATTCCCTCTTCCCCCAGTTATGAGGCCCTCTCCCCCATCCCTCAACATTTCTGCTCCCACTCAGGGAAAGAGAAAAGTCACAACAGCAGTGGAAAGGGCTGGGTTTATTCTGGGTTTCTCAAATGATCTGAGCAAACAATCTTTCCTCCTCTCTCTAAACTTCTAGCCCAAATACTCTCTGCTAAGCGTCTGCCATGCAAGTTATATTTCTTTCTCTGTAATTTAATTGTTCATGCCTTCATCCTCAACTGGACTAATTGCTAACGTAGGTTTCTTCATTTTTTGAGTTATTTTTTAAAGTAAGCTCTATGCCCAACATCGGGCTCAAACCCAACACTTAAAGATCAAGAGTAACAGGCTCCATCAACTGAGCCAGCCAGGTGCCTCAGGGTACACTTCTTTGTACCTCTTAGACCACTTAGTAGGATTCTTTGCAAACATCAATTTTAAAGAAATGCTTGATTGAATTTACAGTGTGAATTTTTTTTGCTCACTCATACAGCACTCAGTACAGCCCTCGAATTAGCCCCAGGGGCAACTTGAAAAAGCTTCAATAAGCTACCCTACCACTTACCACCTGATCATTTTACGTAAGTTAATATCTCTCTGCATTTGTGCAATGGGGATTAAAAAAAAACTTTATTTTCCTCAGAGTTGTGATGATTACACGAGTTAACATATATAAAGCACTTTAAACAGTGTCCAACATTCAGTAGGCAGAAGTACCTTAATTGTTTTCCACAAACTTAAGAGCTATGACTGTCCTTTCCAATTTTCAGCGGGCTTAAAACATTAAGCAACAGGAGAATTCCTGTAACAGTGAAAGCGGCACAGGTTGGAGTATCTAACTTCTAGTCTCCCACAAATAAGTTACACATCCCTGAGTGAGTTAATCAACCTCTCTGAAACTTGGTATCCTTATCTGTCAAATGGGGGAGGGGAGCAGAAGACTACCTCTGGGGTCCCTCTGAGCTGAAAAACATTCTGACACCCTACCCGATTTAGATAAGATTACCCCCAGCCACTGGTTCTCACCAAGGATAAATACCAACGATTTTCTTACAAAAAGGGCTTGGAGTTACAAGCTTGGTTTATTTCAAAGGCTATTTTCTAAGCAGGCCAGTATCTCTTCCAGGGCACAGTCTTGAAAGTTTAAACAAACAGCACCCTCCCTTCCCCTTTCTGAACAGAGTTTTAAATTTTTTAAAAAAATTTTTAAGGTTTTTTAAAAATTTATTTTATTTTTTTATTATTTTATTTTTGTTTTGTTTGTTTATTTTTGAGAGAGAGAGAGAGAAGCGTAGGTGCGCAGAGGTGGGACAGATAGAGAGGGAGACAGAGGATCTGAAGCGGGGTTCCATGCTGACAGCAAAAAGCCCAACGCGGCGTCTGAACTCAGAAACCCCTAAGATCATGACCTACAACAAAATCAGATGCTTAACCAACTGAGCCACACAGGCACCCTGTTTTGTTTTGTTTTGTTTTGTTTTGTTTTGTTTTGTTTTGAGAGAGGGTGAGAAAACGCGCCTGAACAGGGAAGAGGGGCAGAGAGAGAATCTCAAGAAGGCTCCATGCTCAGTCTGGAGCCCAATATGGGGCTCGATCTCACAACCCTCAGGTCATGATCTGAGCTGAAATCAAGAATCAGTCAATCAACCAAATGAACCACCCAGGCGCTCTAATTTTTTTTTTAATATAAAAAAATCTCCCTTTAAGAGACAGCCAGCTACCCAGAGAATACCAATACTACCTCAGAATGAAAAGGTAAAATTTAACACACCACTCACCTGTATTTAGAAGCAATATAAAGTTAGAAAAAAAAATTAATGTTTAGATCAAGTAGATAATCAGCAAGAGTATGTGTATTAAGTAGCTAGCTTCCTTGTTGGTACTTTAAGACTGGGGAAAACTGCCTGAAATAATGAATGGGTATCTTGCACAGTAATTCAGAGACAACATAAACTTGGAGATACATTCTAGGGCAAATTATCCTTATGGTTCCCTTTGTAATAAAGCTATTTCTCCACATATGGCCAGCATATATACTAACAGTACTTTGTTGATTTGGTTACAATGAATTCTCTACAATTCAATTCAGTATTTACGGACCACCTCCAATCCGCCTAGCACTGGCCTGTACAATAAATGCTTTCTTTGGTCCCAGGCCATGTAACAGCCACTCTCTATAATGAAAGTATCTTATTGTGTCCTGGAGGCACTGCAGGAAAGGGGCAGGGGTGGGGGGGGGGGGAAGCGCAGTGTCAGGCTAAACTGTAGCTTAATTTTTTTCTATTGCATTGACCAAAGACCAAATCAAATAATTTCAAAGTGAGAAGTCCTTTTCGGAAAATCGAGTTAATTTTATTGATGACAAAACTGAGAGCTGGAGAAGAGTTCTGCATTATCCAAGGTCACTCGGGCAATCACTCCTAATGGCCTGGTGCAATTTCCACAAAGTCCCTTCACTCTTCACCCACTCTAAGACAAGCAGAGTTAACTACCCAAAACGGGGGGGGGGGGGGGGGGGGAGAAGCCCGACGTAACCTTCTGGACATAACCATTTTTTAAAGTCTTCAAAAGACTTTTAAAGAGAAAGTGGGATGTACAAAATCTCTACCATATCCGAACTACGTCTTTATCCACTCTAAGCTACCAATACTCTTCAATCACCTCTCGCGGGTGGGGTGAGAAGCAGGTGATCTGGAGACACGTAAGCGGCACCTCAAAACGTGCCCATTACTCAGTCTTCCGCATTTTTCACCTCGAGGCCCTGAAGGACCCCCCCCCCCCAAAAAAAAAAAAATCCCTCACTGGAATCAAAGCAAATGGCGACGAAGGACGGGCAGTAAAATCAGACAGGGTGGGCTCGCTCGCGACCCGGTTCTCAGAAACGTCAAAGGACGATGACGACACTGCGGATGAGGGGACTGGAAGGGGTCCACAGACGGCTTCTCCCCAGAGATCCGGGTACCCCTGGCCACTAGACCCTCGCCCCCTCCCCGCCTGGACCGGGGGGCGGGGCGGGACGTCTCCCAGGGGAAGGCGCTTCCAACCACCGAGCCAAGGGAGGGACAGGGGTTTGGACTCTCTCCACACTCCGCCTGGGCCACCTGGAGGGGACCCCGGGGCCTCAGCTGCAGAGCCCACCCTCACGCACACACCCGGCGGCCCCGCCCGCCCTCCCCTGAGGCCGGCCCCAAGTCTCACCGTGAGCCCCGGGAGCAGCCAGGGGGTGCTGGGCGAGAATGGGGAGCTGACTCTGGGGCTCAGGCCGGCCGAAGGGCGCTGCACACGGACCTAGGCCCTCCCGACGCTTCGACACAGACACAATGAGTCACAAAGGCCGGAAGTGTGTCAGCATCTCGCCTTCCGGGACTGCGCTGCACTTCCGGGTCCTCTCTAGCAGCGCAGGAGGATTTTGCTTCTCGGTTCCCAAGTCTCAGGACCCCTCCCCTTGCCCTCTGTGATCAAGCCTCCAGTCTTTTTTTTAAAAAATAGCTTATTGTCAAGTTGGTTTCCATATAACACCCAGTGCTCCTCCCCACAAGTGCCCTCCTCCATGCCCATCGTCCCCCTTCCCCTACCCCCACCCCCATCAATCTTCAGTTTGTTCTCAGCATTCAAGATTCTCTCATGGTTTGCCTCCCTCCCTCTCCCTAACTATTTTTCCCCTTCTTCTCCCCCACGGTCCTCCGTTAAGTTCCTCCTAATCCTCCTATACGTGCAAACATATGGTATTTGTCCTTCTCTGCCTGACTTATTTTGCTCAGCATAACACCCTCAAGGTCCATCCATGTTGCTACACAAGGCCAGATTTCATTGTTTCTCATTTCCATGGAGTATTCCATGGTATAGATAAGCCACATCTTCTTGATCCATTTGTCTGTTGATGGACACTTAGTCTCTTTCCATGTTTTGGCTATTGTTGAGAGTGCTGCTATGAACACTGGGGTACATGTGCCCCTATGCATCAGCACTCCTGTATCTATTGGGTAAATTTCTAGCAGTGCTGTTGCTGGGTCATAGGAGAGTTCTATTGTTAATTTTTTGAGGAACCTCCACACTGTTTTCCAGAGGTCAAGCCTCCAGTCCTAAGTTTACTGCACTTGGCTTCTGCGCTGGGAGTTAATGTGGGGAACGGACCGGAGCGACTGCCCAGCTCAGACGCCAATTCATATGATAATTCGATTCCTCTCCTGTTCTTTCCATTTCGGGCAGTCATTGTACTAATTATAGTTATCATCAAGCAATAATAATTCTTAGTAATTGTCTAAGGAAGATCAAAGTGAAGCCAGGGGCGGTTGTTTTCATAAAACTGCCATGGTAGCTTCTCTCTGACCCTGGAGATGTCAGTCTATTAAGTGCATGGTGTTTTCCAATATCTGGCCTGTAGACAAAGGACGTATTTCCACAACCAAAGTAGTTACAAGATTCTGTGTTTTGCTTATGTGGCATATGTTATTACAGCAGTGGAGTTTTCAGAGTAATAATAGACACTTTTGCCTTCAGGGTGCTTTCACAACCTACAATAATTCTGGCCTCACCTTTACCTGGGAAAGTCAACTTTGCTCCACCTTCCATGTAAAGGTGACCAAGGGCTTTAATGGTTGTAACTTTGCTCTATATTCCATGTCAAGTTCATGAGAGAGACTGAACTTAGTAGTGATTGCGTGACTCTTATTGCTTGGGAGAGATTACTTAAAAAAACAAACAACCCCCTCTCACACAACTTGATGGGGTGCCTGGGTGGCTCAGTGGGCTAGGCATCTAACTCTTGATTTTGGCTCAGATCATGATTTCATGGTGGTGAGGTGAGATCTAGCCCCATCTCAGCATGGAGCCTGCTTAGGATTCTCTCTCTCTCTCCTCCCTCTGCCCTTCTCCCATCCTTCTCTCTCCCCCTCAAAAAAAAAAAAACACATGAAAACTAAGAGGCAATTACGGTATCATTAAGTGAAAATTGCAAAGTGGAGAAAAAAATCACTTGTAATCTCTCTACCCTAACCAGACTGTGATGGCTTTAATTTACCCCTTTCCTATCTGCTTTCATATATATCAACTCTTTTTTATTATTATTTTTAAAGTTTATTGACTTATTTTGAGAGAGAGAGAGCAAGCATAGGGGAGTGAGAGAGAAAGAGAGGGAGGGAAGGAGGGAGAGAATCCTAAGCAGGCCCTGTGCTGTCAGCATAGATCCTGATTTGATTTGGGGGCTCCATCTCATGACTCTGGGACCATGACTTGAGCTGAAATCAAGAACTGGATGCTTAACTGACTAAGCCACCCAGGTGCCCCTTTTTTATCTATTATTTTAAACATCGTTCAAAACTACAGTCGTATTGGATAGGTGGCTGAGAGGCCTGAAGTACCCACCACACTCATGCTGTGTGACCACTTTTTGCACCAGAATTGAATGGATCAGATTTGGGCACGTGATGGAAGCCAAGCTTGGATATAATCTGGCCACTGGAACTATGGAGGTGGCCCTCCCTGAGAGTTCTAACGGAACAGTAGGGAAGTAAAGCATTAGATTCCCTTTCTTAGGGAGTTTAAATAGGATATACATATTTAAACAATCGGAAAGCAGGGTAAGGGGCGCATGGCTGGCTCAGTCCAAAGAGCATACAACTCTTGATCTCAGGGTCATGAGTTTGAGTCCTATGTTGGGTGTAGAGATTACTAAAGAAAATAAACAAACTTAAAAAAAATACTGTGAGTACAGCACAGAGTTCAGCTTTAAAAAAAAATAGAAGGGCAAGAAGAAATCAGTAAACTGAAGCCATTAGGTGATAGAAGCATGGAAGATATGAGCTTTCAGTTTCTTCATCTGTAAAATGACAACAGTTAATAATTGATCATTATTGATTAATAATAACTGGTAGCTGGTAATGATGATCCTAGCCTCAAGATGTCTCTGTGGAAGGTAAGTGTCTGATAGCAAAGCGTTTGGCACACAGTGAACACTCAATGCATGTTACTTATCTTGATCATTGTTATTTTTATCTTTTTTATTTTTATTTTTGAGAGAGAGAGCACGAGCGGGGGAGGGGAGAGAGAGAGAGGGAATCCAAAGCAGGCTTCAGGCTCTGAGCTGTCAGTGCACAGCCCGATGTCGGGTTCAAACCCACAAACCATGAGATCATGACCTGAGCCAAGGTCAGATACTTAACCTACTGAGCTACCCAGGTGCCCCCTATTGTTCTTTTAATCATAATCTTAACTAGAAAAGGGAATGATGGCACTTACATCAGTATGGGGGAAAAGAGACAAGTAAATAATCCAAGAAGACACTTTCTCAGTGGCACTATGGGAAAAGCAAAACATCTTTGTCTGTGATTACTGAAGACCTCTCTGATTATTTTCTAAGGACAGATTCCAAGAAATGAGGCTTGTCGGGCCCACAGCAGAGGGTCTACATGAAATAGTGCTGGTGACCCCAAAGTTTGAGACCTGTGGGCAAACAAGCCCACCTAATGAGATCAGGTGACATCCGCAGGAGAGTTTTGAAAGAACTCCAAGTACCACTAAATGTAATGATTTACTTTTACAAAGCAACACCATACCTAAGGCCTGGCAGGCTGCCCTGAACAAATAAAAGTTTCTGAAGGGCTCTCCAGAAACTGTGGGCTCCCAAGGTTGACTTGTGTGTTGTGAAAGCTGGTGGGGTTAATACTAATGGGGTGCATCCCTGACATGCTACTGACACTAGACACTAGGGCCCTGGGGGTGTTTCCTCAAGTGAAAGTCTAGTTGAGTTCCTGTTGTGAGCTCCTCAGCGTTCTCCCTATGGGAGCCAGGTGGGCCCTGGGTTTATAGTAAGAATCTGTTTGATTCCGTCTAATACCCAGGAACATTAATGCATTGGGGTCACTATAAACTAGATTTAGCTAACAGGATGCCTGGCTGGCTCAGCTGGTGGAGCACACAACTCTTGATCTCAGGGTTGTGAGTTTGAGCCCCACTTTGGGTGTGGAGATTACTTAAAATATTTTAAAAAAGATTTAAAAAATTTTAACTAGAGATCTTTTGGGTCACTCAGATAGTGTGATTTCAGGTACCAGACCTTTGTGAGGGTGGCCTTGTGCTGAGGAGTTTTCCATGGCCCAAATAACCACATATACCCATGGTTTTCTTCTTTGGTGTGGAGTTTACTCTTTTTTTTTTAACATTTTATTTTATTAAAATTTTTTAATGTTCATTTTTTAAATGTTTTATTTATTTCTGAGAGAGAGAGAGAGAGCAGGGGAGGGTCAGAGAGAGAGAGGTACAGAATCTGAAACAAGCTCCAGGCTCTGAGCTAGCTGTCAGCACAGAGCCCGACGCGGGGCTCAAACCCACAAACCATGAGATCGTGACCCGAGCTGAAGTCGGACGCTTAACCGACTGAGCCACCCAGGAGCCTCTAATGTTTATTTTTGAGAGAGAGAGAGAGAAAAAGCGAGCAAGCGAGTAAGGGATGTGCAGAGAAAGAGACACAGAATCCGAAACAGGCTCCAGGCTCTGAGCTGTCAGCACACGGCCCAACGTGGGACTTGAACCCATGAACTGGAAGATCATGTCCTGAGCCTACGTCAGATGCTTAACTGACTGAGCCACCCAGGTGCCTCAATACAGGTTTTACTCTTATTCACCTTTCAAGGTGTTGTCCTTTGAGGTTCCTAACTTTAGGCCGAGGGCTCAGGTCCCTGGCATTGTCACCTATCCCCCTCATGTGTGGCCTATTAAAACCCATGTTCTGGGCACCAGAGGTGAGCAGACACTCCAGGGAAAAGTCACTCCAGAGTGTGCTTATCCCTCTGGATTACTGCTTTCTGTCATTTTTTCCCCCTGGCTTCCAAGGGATTCCCTTACTTCCCCACCAGCTCATTCATGTGTTAGTAAAAGATGCTTTTTGCATGGAACCCATCATTTGTCAGTGTGCTATATGGGGAGGGTTTCTCTGCTCATCTTGGCTGCCATATGGCCAGAAGGGGAGTCCAGGAGGATATATATTTAAGACTTGCAAGTCTGAAAAATTACAGATGGCGTGTCTGGAGTAAAACAGGCCCCAGATTACATCTGATTACATCTCAGAACACTAAAATGAGGAGGCTTGAGCAGCATACAAAGGACAAATACCTGGAGATTCTGCTTTTATAGAGAAGATAGTGTGTTTATGGAACTTATTCCAAGGAAACAAGCCCTCCATGAGGGCTTGCAAAATGAATGGGAGGCAGGTAAGGGCAGAGTCTGATGGGGTTTTTAGTTGGTTGAATAACCAGACCTGAGTTATATTGACAAATTCACAGCAACTTAATTTTTTTAATTTTTGAGATGTT